AGTTCTTTATTCCGGAAATATATTTCACGGAGATGTAATATTTCCTCCGCATTCCCCGATTTTCCAACTACTTTTCTCTTTCCTATTCTTGAGTGTCTCATAACATTCATTCTGCAATTTCCTGATACTTTTCGAATTTTTCCTCATATTTCCTGTTTTTTAGCACGAATGAAAAGACATTCGCTTGATTTCACGAACCAACATATTTGATGAATTTTATCAAATTTTCCATTTGTGCATGTGCGAAATTGCAGTTAAAAAATTCTTAATGCACATCGAATTTCCTGATATTTTTGGGTTTTCGGTATTTACTAACGGTCGACACCCTGTATTCGGAATTTTCACTTCTCCAATCCGAAACAAACGTGTATTCATACTGTAATTTAATATCACATATTCATGACATATAATGACACAATTCATATTATAATTGGACGTGCTTCTGTCAAATGGAACTATGTGCATTAAGACATGAGCCCTGAGACCCATGAGATATATGCATAAAAAGGCTCACGTCATAATGCACATAGTTCCGTTTGGCAGAAATACCTCCAGTTTTTTCTCCATGTTCCTAGGTTTTCACGTCGCTAGACACTCCGTGTGCGTCCACAGTGCGACACGCTGAGAAGCGCCGGCGGGTTGATTTATTAGAAAACGCTAGCTTGTCTCATCTTCCGCCTGATCAAATTTCAGCCTTCAGGCGTGCCTCCGACCACCTTCTCCCACCGGTTTTTTCCCTCTTTTCTCCCCGTTTTCCCCGTTTTTCGCCTCCCTCGCCGCCCCGGCCCAGCTCAATTTGCATGGCAAGCGACGCAGAAAAACGAAAGCTCGGGACGGAGACGCGACCGGTGTAGTGGCGTGGCATGCTATGCGATTTATCGATTGATTGATCATTTAAACCTATAGAAAAGGATCGCTAAACAGGGTGCTCGCAACCAACACCTTAATAATCGATTCTTTACCGTAGCTTCAGATGGAGAAATATGGATAATCGATCGATCACGCCTCACCACTGGACCGGCAAGAGAAAAACCGGATGGAGACGCACCTCCGCTTGTAAAGACTTCAACGTTTGACTGATAAAACAGCGTAAGTACACATTTTGAGATGAGCTCAGGTAGGCATTGAGCTAAATGACCGACGGGGTTTATTGCAAGATGTATAGTTATGTCCTTTTGTCGGAAGAGCGACTATTCGTCGTGAGTATAGAGTAGGTGCTCAACAAGAGTCTCTGAATTTCTTGTGCTTCATGAATGGACCAGCAGACAAGGAGCCATTTCAGCATTTTGATACAAGCGCCTTAACCAAAATTGCTTGTGAAACACGATCCGCAAACAAAAATGACTAAAATCAACTCATATACTATTCAGCTGAATACCAACCAAATTGTGGAAATATGTTTTATGCAGTTCGGTACACTGGAAAGAAAACCACAGTGGATCTAGAGTCCAGACTCTTGAAAACATTGACAAGAAAAAGGGCTCTAGATTCAATCAGATTTAAGCTTAAATCAAAAGGAAATCCGCCCAAATTAAGAGGCTTGGTTCTTGATTTAAGCTAGATTCTGATTGAATCAAGAGCATTTTTTCTTGTCGATGTTTTTAAGAGTCTGGACTCTAGATCCAATGTGTTTTTTTTTTCCAGTGTAGCATAAATTATAACAATAGTGCGGCAGCCGATATGGTATGTGGTATAGCCTAGTGGGCAAAAACTGTTTTAACCTCGGCGCAAAAAATTCCTTGAGGATTTTCTATGCACATCCACTCGAATTCAAAGCAACCAAGGAGATTTTTTTGGTAGACAATCGTGATAAAAAATAAGTTTCCATCCGTGGTATTTTTCGTCACCCTTCTGACGTAAGGGCATATTTCGATACCGGCATGAGCCCTGCTTTGCGCATATCTCTTTGCTTCGCGGGGTTCATGTGGAAATGGAGATACGCCCTTACGCCAGAGGAGCGATGTTTTGTGAACTCTGGAAAGAGGAATGTCCTTATGCAAAAAATAGATTCAGTTTTCTCGGTTTCCTGAAGTTATCTAGATTTTTCCTCTTATTTTGCTAGTGCAAACTGTGAGTATGTCGGCATCAAATACAATACACTACCGACAGCTCACATTCACAATTATTCAAAATATATCACTAGAGGGGGCAAAAAATACACTGGAAAAAAAAACACATTGGATCTAGAGTCCAGACTCTTGAAAATATTCTCTTCATTCAATCAGATTTAAGCTTAAATCAAGAACCAAGCCTCTTAATTTGAGCGGATTTCCTTTTGATTTAAGCTTAAATCTGATTGAATCAAGAGTATTTTTTCTTGTCCATGTTTTTAAGAGTCTGCACTATGGATCCAATGTGTTTATTTCCCCAGTGAATGCTGCAGACTTGCTATCATACTTCATTGTTTCTTGGAAAACTAGACAACGTAAATCCCTCAAGCACACTTTGCAACCTATGAATGATGGATGTGTCCGTTTGGCACGTGTCTGTTAAAGGTAATGCTGTACGGTGACCATTTCGCCTTCAATTAGAAGGGTATACTTCCCGCTCTCCCAAAGGTACGAATAGTTGCATGTTCGCGCCTTATTCTGACAACCTTATTCTGAGCAGGCGCGAAAGTACAACTATTCGTTACTCTAGGAGATCGGGAAGTATACCCTTCTAATTGAAGGCGAAATGGTCACCGTGCAGCATTAACTTCGACAGACACGTGCCAAACGGACACATCCATCGATACCACCAAGTACTTCGATAAATACCGAAGGGTTCGGGTCACACATCTGAAGTACTCCAGTACATACCGAAATGCCTCAATGTCTGACCCGCACTTCGGCAGCTCGACCTCAAGTTTTCGGATGCGTGATCAGAAAACTTCAGAGATCCAAATGACCTCAACTTCGGGTCCCATGCACGAGATTTTTTTCTCCGTGAAAAAGATCTAATCGCTAATGTTTGAATGGGGCATGCCGCCAGATGACGTTTCCAGGCGGTGCATTTTCTCACTTTTGAGTCTATTCTTATAATAGTTCCCATATCATAAATAAATTAAAATAAATACTGCGAAATCAGCACTTTAAGTACTTTCTGATGGAGCGATAAAACGTTTACGTGGAAATCCTCCAAATCACATTCAATTTTGAAAATCCACCGAGTCTCCGATCGATATTCCAAAGTTTTCTCAGCCACCGCACTGAAAACAAAAAGTTCGGACGTATGAACCGAGTTTCGGTATTCCATATCACCCCGACTCATTTGGATTGTCAAACCAAAATTTTGGTTCGTAAAACCGGAGTTTCGGTTCGTGTAGCCGAACTTCAACGGTAAAGTGAACTGTCCGACAAAATCCGGCCATACGAACCAAATTTTCTGTCACACGAACCGACTTTGCGGTTACACGGACCGAATTTTCGGTCACACGAGCCGAATTTTCTATCACACGAACCGACTTTGCAGTTACACAAACCGAATTTTCGGTCACACGAACCAAATTTCCTGTCACACGAATCGACTTTGCGGTTACACAAACCGAATTTTCGGTCACACGAGCCGAATTTCCTGTCACACGAACCGACTATGCGGTTACACGAACCGAATTTTCGGTCACACAAGTCGAATTTTCTATCACACGAACCGACTTTGCGGTTACACAAACCGAATTTTCGGTCACACGAACCAAATTTCCTGTCACACGAACCGACTTTGCGGTTACACGAACCGAATTTTCTGTTACACGAACCGAATTTTCTGTCACACGAACCGAAAGTTCAATTTGACAAACCGACGATACGGAACACCGAACGTTCGGTTCGTAGGACCGAATTTTTTTTTCAGATGGCAGGGACATTTCCCCGCCCTGTTCAACTCCACGGCTCCACGCCTAAGCCTAAACGACGTGACCAACCCTGCTAACCCTGGAGATGCGATCCGCTGGGGAGGGGGGGGGTTAGGGGGGCGGCTGAGATAAGAAGAGTCAGAGCCCAAGTCGGAGGATAATGGGCTAGCAAACGAATGGAGTGAAAACGCCGAGTGGATCTGCAGATACTCGCAAGAGCACTCTTACTCGCGGATGCGAAGCGCGATTATGAAACCGCGCAAGTCCCCGCGCTCGCAAGGGGCGCGAGCGCGGTTTTTCCCGGGCATCGCGCGAATCTCGAACCGAAGAGTGATGCCTTGTTTTATTAGCGCAGTTAATTGAATTTAATTAAACACTCTAGCCGGCTCCGCTCCCCGCTTGCCGGGTCAACTCACGATTCGCCTGCGTTAAAAATCGCGCATCTGTAATATAGTTTCCATGGGAGGAACGCGGTTTTTGAATTGTATGGTAGTGTTTTGAACTGATTTGAATGGGGCATCGACGTTTTTTTGGCCTAAAAAGGCAACCTCGCGTCATGCACTCGCATTCTAGGCCACGACCCGGAGTTCTCAAATATCCAGGGAAATGCCGCGTTTTTCTACCGCTCGGACGCGGGAATTTCTCAATTATTCGATTGTCTGAGAGTTGAGATGCTGGTTGGGCGTGGTGGTTTGGCATAAATCGATTGATTTGCTGTTTAAACCTTACAGAAAAGATAGATTATTAGGGTATTTCGGGGTGTCTACGAAAACAGACTGATCAGAAATCAGTACTTTTTCAGTACCTCCAATTGACCAAATTCGATTTCTCGCTCATATTGCAACAAAAATGACAAAAAATGAAGAAAATTCTGGACCGTTTTGCGGAATTTCCGCATTTTTTCAGTGCTTCGGGACCGCCCTTAAAAGATCAGTACTATTTCCGGACTTGTACACACCCTATATTTGCAACGAACATCCTGAGGGAACATCCTGATGAAGTTAAGTTCCTTCGTCTTGGTTTTTTTTTTTTTTTTTTTTTTTTTTTTTTTTAATTATTGGGGGAAAGGGTTTGAAGTTAGAAAATTGGGTAAAGTTTCATGACATGACCCAAAAAGAGTTTCGATTATAAACGTGAGATTAAAAAATGAATTCTTCAAGAAACTTACCTCGTGATCTCTTCCAGAAGTTTGCAAGGGTCGACGGCGTAAAATTTGACTCCAAAATACAACGTGAGGGTGTCTTTTCCTGCAAAACAAAAAGAGACACAACTTTAATTTAACTATGCATTTATTACATGACTCCCCATTTTACAGCCGTAAGCATTTCCACAGATGAAAGCTGCGAGGGTGATGGAGTGTTGAAAACTTTTGCCAAAGATTGTGGAGGACATTACAAACACACCAAGCAAAACCAATATTTTTCTAGCGAGAATAATCTAATATTTATGCAAATGGGGTTCGACCCTGCGGAAATATATGTAGAGCAAAGATTGGCGTACGCTTTTTAAACCAACCCTATATATTGTACCAAACAAGGTCAGTGCAATCTTACACGAGGATAAATAGATAATTGGTATTTTATGGATTGATATCATAAGCTTGTATTGGTATCCAAATTTCATTTTTTCTCAAGTCGGTTTTGCGAACTTGAGGTTGTTTGAAGAACATTCGTCGTAGTAATGACATCAGTATCCCGATTCTAATTTTTACTGTGCTACAGTCCTCGGTTCCGTGGAAAATGACAAAAGCCCGAGTCACACTATCGAAATATTCCATCAAAATATCAAGGTCAGGTGTTTTGATTGACTTACTCGATGACTTGGACCAATCACAGCACTCGACCTTGACATTTTGATGGAGTATTTTGATAGTGTGACACAGGCTATTGGAACTTTCCCCTCTATGATCTTAGTCGCTTGATTCAGGTGCGAACTCTAATTTTAATGAAGGAGAGACGGTGAGGAGAGTGTAAAAAAGTAAAGGTAGACAGGGTCATTGATTGATAAATATAAATTTGCGCGTGTGAAGTACACATTGCAGTCATAACAAAAGGAAAAGAGGAGAAAAAATGGGTTAAAAAAATTGGAAAATTGCTAGTTTTTGTCGAGAAGGTTTTTGAGTACTTTTCGTGGAAAGATATGCGAACACCAAGCTTTCCCGGAGGAAGAAAAAATGTGACACTCGCATTGACGCAAAGGAATACCGTATATATTTCTCTCACTTTTTTTAGATGGGGAGGGTTTTCTTAATGCCCTTGAAATTCTTCGAATTTGAATTTTTATCCTCAAATTGTCTCCGCGAACTTGAAAAATAGATGTTGCTCGCATTCAGATATGTGCTGGTGTGACAAAGGTCACTGTTTTCTCGTGAAAAATGATATCAACAGCAACCGTGATTTGTGTACTGGCTCAGATCCTCACAACAACAGCGCTTGTAAGTAAAAATCACGTCAATTCTCCGGTCTACCGTTCTCGTAAAATATCCTGTCTTTTGAGCGGCTCGGCATCGAATAGACGTCTTTCTGCCAAACGGAGCTGTGTGCAATATGACGTGAGCGTGAGCCCTGATATGCATATATTCTTATGGGTCTTAGGGCTCATGTCGTAATGCACAAAGTTCCGTTTGGCAGGATTACGTCCAAATTAGGTTGCCTGTACAGCTTTCAACCCCTCTCCACTCAGATATATATGTATTCAATGGTAGTTGCAGAATTGATGTTTGATGATTTTACATCATGGATCAGCTAAGAAAAATGAGATCACGCCAAGCCTCCACGCCCAGGATAAACGCCGTTCATAAAAACACAGCGAAGGACTTCCTACGCTGTGTTTTTATGTGATCTACGCCAGAAGTTCATCTCTGTTGCCTCTGAAATCTCCCGTGTCCGCTGTTTTATCGGCCGTACTTGACACCCGTAGGTTACCATGCTCTTGACAATCGCATTTCAGATCCTATAGGACTTTTCTAAAACTTCTAAGACTTTTTGAACATTTTTAATAAATGTTACATCTCTACCTGAATGTTTCATTAATAATTTTTCCTCTGATATCATACAAAAATCGGAAAAATTTGGACAGAAATCGGACAGGTCCGTCCTTGTAAAAACGAGATTATTTGGATCAATTTTGCACCCTTGGAATGAAGTTTCGTTCCTCCGTCCGGGAAACGACTCAATATCAACGTGTATCCCAGTGGCGAGGCATGGGCGATTGATTATCGATAGCCCCCCATTTGAAGCTATAGTAAAGAATCGATTGATCAGGTGTTCGTTGCGAAAACCCTGTTCATAGATCCTTTTTCATGGGTATAAAAGGCAGACCAAACTATATGACGCGGGAAGATAGTTATACTAGGCATTTTGTCAAATGACTGGGTCAATGGTCAAATATTCTTACGTAGATTAAAATTCTGATTTTTTTCATAATTTCATACAAATTGATTCTTCCTCCTGCAAAAAATGATTCTATGATGTAAAAATATGCATCATGCAATGGTATTTTAACGGATTTTTAGCTAATGAGGGAATGTTTACCTCGAAATTTTCTGCGAGTCATAAGATGCAGAATTTTTAAAATCATAAAATTAAATATAAGAAAAGCGTTTAGGAAGGAAGGAACGAGAAGAGTTTGTAGATTTGACGAGTCATTTTTTCCAAAACATCGAAAACTCGAGAGCTTTCCATCTTTTTACAAAATATTTTAAACTTTCAGAATTTGACTATCTGCTACGCATTTGATTAAATGCCTGATTATACTAGATTTCTGCGACATATACATCGCAAAGCACGCCACTCCAGTGATGTATCTAAACAATACACATCTGACACTAGTATTTTGGTTTCTAGCATCCATTACATCCGTATTTGATCCGCGAGGGTGACGTAGAGAATGATAACGAGACTCCCAGATCTGTGCCAAATCTCCCTCGAAGGGAGTTCCTCAGAGCGGTGAACCAGGACAAGTGCAGCCGTATCTACGCCAACAAATTCTACAGATTCGCGGCCCAGTTGCATTGTCAAGCTACGCTTGACGCCTGGACCAATCAGCCACCGGCCAATCAGATCAGTTGCTCTAACGCCAGCGCCCCGCAATGCGAGCCAACAACGTTCTGGAGCATCTGGCGGACAGAGAGGTGTAGCTTCCTATGCCAGGTCGCTGAAGGCGGTACCGAAAGGGTCTTCGTTTCGAATCTCAAGAGGTCATCATCATCATTATCATCATCACCACCGTCATCATCATCATCACCATCGTCATCATCATCATCATTACTGAGACGCATGTCCCGGTCTCGCAGTAGACGCGGGGATGATACGGGTTCGGGCTCGCCGGTAAAAATCTGGCGGCAATGAGATACGGTGTCGGGGTGTCCCAAAGTTAAACGCGGACATACATTTTCAGAATACTTTTTAGAATCAAAGTAAATTTTTTTCCCTATTGAGTTTTCCCAAAAAATTCCACCCTTGAGAGTTACAGCTTTTCAAAGTTGGGCCAAAAGCCGTTGTTCTTGATTTTTATGGGTGAAAATGCAAGATCATTGGCATGTTTATATTCTGATGCACGCTGAACACATTTCGGACCTCAAAAGAGCCGAAATCTTACCTCGAGGGAGGTTTTGGAGGAGGAGCTGAAAGTCTGAAGGGGTAATTTTTTGGGAACTCGGTATAAGACGAAAAAAAGTCTTATTTTGATCCAAAAAATCAATTCTCTAAAAATTTACGTTTAACTTTGGGATACCCTGTGTAGCTCATTTCGAAGTCGATGGGACATCGGAGGAACCCGAATTTTATGAACGCGAAGTGAACTTCGTTCCATGAGAACATACGCCACTTTGAAAAAATAGTAGATTCCGCTTCGAATTCTGATCACTTGTGGGTTCTTCGGGCGCTGTGCTCCGTAGTCAGATATGCGCCATTGCACCATAGCACTCTGCATGACAGTGAAATTTTGTAATAGCTCAAGGGTCGTTTTCATAATCGTTCCATATACACACTGGGAAAAAAACACATTGGATCTAGAGTCCAGACTCTGGAAAACATTGACAAGAAAAATGACTCTAGATTCAATCAGATTTAAGCTTAAATCAAAAGAGAATCCGCTCAAATTAAGAGGCTTGGTTCTTGATTTAAGCTTAAATCTGATTGAATCAAGAGTTTTTTTTCTGGTCGATGTTTTTAAGAGTCTGGACTCTAGATTCAATGTGTTCTTTTTCCAGCGAGGGCAGTATCTAGACCCTATGAACTAGGATACCTTTGCAAAATGTAAGAAATATTTAAGGAAACCGATGTGTTTATTTCGGATGTTTCGTCGCTCATCTGACGTAAGGGCGTATACCTATTTCCACATGATCCCTGGAAAACGTAAAGTTATACGGGGAACAGAGCTTATGCGGAAATTGACAATAGCCATTACGTCAGAGGAAAGACGATTTTTCCGAGGAAACAAACGCTTCGTATTCCCTATTTCTTCCCTCTTATGAAACTGTCTCTATTAATTCAATTTTTGAGAGGAAAAAATTATTTAAATTAGATTCGTAAAACAAATTCTCTGCCTAACGAACATCAGCCCGGCTAGCTCAGTCGGTAGAGCACGAGACTCTTAATCTCGGGGTCGTGGGTTCGAGCCCCACGTTGGGCGCTGAAATTTTGGGAGATTAGGTCGTGTCAGAGTTACTTGACTTTGTAAAAAATTCCGAAAATCCATCGACCGAATTCATCATTCACAAGTATATTTCGTTTTCATTCCGTTTTTAAGAGGAATGAAAACTAAGATAAGTTTCTACTTTCAAACTTATTTTACAAATCTGATGTAAAAAGAAAGAAGAATTGATGTGTAATGAGAGACAAAAATACAATTACTATTTTACCTTCCTGGAACTCGCATTCGAAGTTCTTTCAGAATACCTTAATGTATCGAAAATGTTGTAAATAAAGGCGTGAGCTGTCGATTAATTAAATAATACCGTAAGAGGCAATTCCATTAAACCTTTCAATAGTTAGAAAAACATTGAAAGTAATCATTTAACCACCTCGCTAATAATTTACAGCTAACATATGTTTGCAGTCAAGGATCCACATTGTCACAACTATATGTATCACATTCACTATCAGCCGGATAAAATTGTTCACGTCCCGTGTTACCACTGTTGAAATTCTGAATTTAGTTTTCTTACTTTATCTTCTTTTTTTTAAGCTGAAATGTTGTGCTGCCAGAATTGAAATATATTTTCTCGGTTCTGGCTAATGTTGAC